GGGTTCTAAACTCAACCCATTTAGACCCATTTATCTTTAAGCTTTAAAATTTAAAACCCATTTAAGGTTGACTCTTTAAAATTAAAATGACCCATTTATGACCCATTTATTTTTAAATGAGTCATATATGGGTTTAAGACCCATTTTGACACCTCTAGTATTCACACATATTTAGAAGCATTTCCACCGCCTATGACTTCACCGCCTTTTAGGAAAGTTGTAATACAAGAAGAACTTTTCTTCTCAGCTGACTTTAATTTGTCAAAGAAAAGAACCCATGGTTTCGATGTTGGACTCTGCTTGCCTTCATGCAAGTTTTGGTCCAACTTTACAACTTGACCCTACTTGTCTTCATGCCAGCTGTGCTCTCCTCCGTGATTAAGTAGAAGGTCGGTTAAGAGTGGGAGTTCCACCACAATTCAATTCTTGCAGTCAACAGCCTATGCCAATTCCAAGTAGAATTGTTCTTCAATGTCAAAGTCAAAAATGTGAGCATCCTTATATATTCCATGTGGCTAAAAGAAGTCCTACTTGTTTTTTTGTTTTGTTTTATCTTCAACCAAAAATCAATTTTACTATTTTTAACGACCCTGCTAGATCTGGGCCATGCGAGGGCGTCTTGGCCCTTGCCTATGGCCGGTAAGGGTCAGCCAGTGGCCTTGCCGACCCTCTGCCTAAGAGAAATATAAAGAAAAAAGTATATAAAATTTAAAAAATATTAAATATTATTAAAAATGTTCACGTCAGCCCCTATCGTGCCTTGTAGAACGGTTGACATCCACGTCGGCGATTTCCGACCAAAATTGGCTTGAAGGACTCAATTGGGTAAAAATATTTAGGACTAAATTGGTCAAACTAAAATGTTTATAATTGAATTGGTACTAATGCAATATGTCTATGATTTTTTGGATACTTTTTCCCAAAAAAGAGCACCGAAATACATATATTTAACCACCGCCCGCAGCGGCTGCGTTGGCTTGCGCTCTAGTCCCCCCACGAAGGGATCATAGTTCGAACCCCAGCGTAGTCGTTACGGATTCTTAAGTGTGGCGCCGTGGTGGTGGGTCCTGCGCTAGTGTCACCCCAGGTTTATCCCTCCGGCTGTCGGCCGTGCGGGGGGTTCCTGAGTTATCAAAAAAAAAATACATATATTTATAGACAGGTAGATTTGACTTTCTCATCGCTAGAAGGAAGCATGTCTGCATCACTGATCATACTGAATAATGCATATGAAAGATATCTAAAAAGTTATAAATTTATCTTACGACGGTCAATTCAATCCTAAATCTTTCAAATTTGTCAATTTTTTTAATTAATTTATTCTTTTATTTTTTCATGATTGGCCAATTTAGTCATTCCAACTAATTTTGGTTGCAAATCACTGATGTGACAGTTTAGTCAATGCCAGTTGTTGTACGTGACATATGTCGTGACAAGATCGCTCTATGAGAACAACATATTATTTTATCTCCATGAGAACAACATATTATTTTACCAACCTATTATTATAAGCGATGGCTTTCCATAATTATGGTACCATTGGTCGTGACATCATCCTTCATTCGTTCGCCGTGACATCATCTTTCATTCATTCGTCTTCATCATTTTGCCTCTCGTCTTTCTTTATATATCATCCTGTCTGAACTCTGATACATCACCACCCCCTTTGAGAGAGAGAGAGAGAGAGAGAGAGAGAGAGAGAGAGAGAGAGAGAGAGAGAGAGAGAGAGAGAGAGAGAGAGAGTCGAATCAAGGTGCTGTGTCATGGAAATGGCTGCGGACGTAGTGATCGTTGGAGCCGGCATAGCAGGACTTACCACTGCTCTAGGACTTCATAGGTATCGCATTTTCAATGAAGGAGTCAAGACTTAAAAGAGATTGCTAGAAAGTTGTTTAGTCACCTTTTGCTTCCCTCTGGATGTTTCTTCACATGTTTTCCCGCTTGAATTGTGTTGCTGAATGATGCCATGTGCGCTGCAGGCAAGGCATTAGGAGCTTGGTCTTGGAATCCCATGATTCTTTGAGGATCATGGGTTTCGCGTTAGCAACATGGACAAATGCTTGGAAGGCCTTGGACGCGGTCGGGATCGCAAAATCGCTTCGTAGGCAGCACAGCAGGCTCCTTGGGTAACTAAGCAACTTCCTTCTCTTGCTGTAGCTGATATGATTATATTTCCTACGCTCACTTTAATATAATAGAGAACCAACTGCAATTTGCATGAACAGTGAGACATTACTTTGAACTCTAAAATAGAAAGCACGATTATAGAGCGATTAGTTTAGTCTACCGAGATAGTTGACAATCTGATATTTTTCCGACAATTAACCAAGCATGGAGAGCGATTCAAAAACTGATTTGACGGTTCAAAGAGACGTGGTGAGTCGCTAGTGGTATTTAAACACAAGCCACATATTCCAATATTTCGTGAGCATCCGCGACACCGAAAATCAACCTCACTGTTGACCCAATGACCACTTACATATCTCTATTGTTGCAGATAATATTTAGATATCTCTAAGCAAAACCCACCCTCATTACAAACTCATTTCTGCATCTTTCGTAGGGCTTGGGCGGGGTTTAGTTTTTAGGTAGTTTTGAGGATTTAGGGTGTGTAAGAATTGAGGATCGGAGGATGGGCACTTATGGACAATGACATTTTCGGTAAATAAGGACACGAGGGTATTTGATGTGAAGGTGTAATGTGGTCACCATAGATAAAACTCAGGCATGTAATTAGTAATTTCTCCATAGCACCATGCTACGTAATTGCACGAGCACAAGATGCATGATGACACCAAAATGGGACAAACGCCTGAACTTCAAATGAAAAGCTTTTCTGTCTTATTCTATCAACATCTAGTTCATGCCTCTGTTCATGCAAGTTCAATTGACATATCAGATGTTCTGGTTGCAGGGTGATGACCACTTCCACAATTTCGGGACTTTCTACAGGAGAGAGTCCATACAGTGCCATGGGAACACAGTTAATTCATTTAAGCTCGAAATTAGCTGGTCAATTAATTAGATACACCCCTTGTATTTCATGTGGAAAAATGAACACAATGCTTTCCCTTATGTAAATGGGTACAATATTGCAGGAGAGACCATGAAGTTCGTTGTGTGCAGAGGAAGATCTTGATGGAAACTCTAGTGAAAGAACTTCCAAGTGGCACCATAAAGTTTTCTTCCAATTAGGTTGTTTCGATTGAGCAATCAGGCAACCTTAATCTTATCCATCTTTCTGATGGTTCGATTCTCAAGGCAAAGGTATTGCATCATGATTTACCGTTAATTAGGAAGATTTACTTAGAATGACAGTGAGATATCTATGCTTGAGAACAGCCCCTTTGTCTGCGGAAAATGTGCTCGCTTTTGCAAGTAAAACGATGTCTTATGGTTTAACGGACCTTTCTGCTAATACTTTATCTCTAAATGCTAGGTGTTGATCGGGTGTGATGGAGTGAACTCGGTAGTGGCAAAATGGCTAGGCTTCAAGGCGCCTGCTTTCGTTGGCCGATGTGGCGTCAGGGGCTTTGCATATTACAAGAATGGTCATGGTTTCGAGCCCAAACTTTTCCAGTTAATTGGCGAAGGATTTAGATCTGGCTTTGTCGCCTGCGATGATAAGATTATGTATTGGTTCGCCACCTTTTCTACTTCCATGTCCAGTCAGGGTGAGTTTTTATATGCATTTTTTTCCTGCTGAAGAAAAACCCCTTTCCTTCATATGAGCCGGCATCGGCATATATTAAATTCTTCTTGTCAATCCCACATACTTTCTACAAGCGCATAATGTCATTTTCTGTGATGAAGAGATGGAAGAGAATCCGGCTAAGCTGAAGCAATTCGTGCTGAGCAAGCTCGGAAAAGTTGCTGACAACTTTAAAGCCGTTATACGCGACACAGAATTGGAAAACTTGGCATTAGCTCCACTCAGATTCAGACACCCATGGGACATTTTATGGGGGCGCATTAGCAAAAGCAACGTTTGTGTAGCTGGGGATGCATTCCACCCCATGACACCAGATATTGGCCAAGGAGGCTGTTCGGCTCTAGAAGATGGGGTCATCTTAGCAAGATGCCTCGGTGAAGCCTTGAGGGACAAGCAAGGCATTAGAAGTGAAGAGGACGAGAGGATTGAGATGGGTCTGCAGAATTATGCCAAAGAGAGAAGATGGAGAGCATTTGAGCTCATAAGTACAGCCTACATGGTGGGATACATCCAAACAAGCAATGGCAAGATATTGAGCTTCCTAAGGAGTAAAGTACTGGGCGGGTTCTTCGCCAGCCAGCAGCTGAGAATAGCGAGCTTCGATTGCGGGAAGCTGACCACCTCTTGAGTTCAGAGCTTACTCCTATGCTTTGTTGTGGCCTTTTCATGTTACACAGTGATGTCTCAACTTAGTTTTTATATGTTGACATAAAAAAAATAATACGTGTGAAATCTTTTTAATATGGAAGACAAATAAACATATTTTTTATTTTGTTTTTATGTATCGCCTACTATATTTTGCAATATATATATGTATGTATGTATGTATGTATGTATGTATGAATTCTCTTCCTTATATATTGTTAATTTTTTTTTTGCAACATCTAATGGATTGCTATAGAAATTCACAATCTATGCAATGTTACAACATGTCTGTAATCTTTCTATACTACAATCTATCTCTTCTATATATGTATTATTCAGCTATGTATAAACATAGCTGAATATTGGATTCCAGGCTCTAATTTTTAGAATATTAAATGTATAATTCTTTCATGTTTAATTAAATTTTAAATAAATATTTTTTATATTCTAACAGTTATATAATATGAATAGCATAATAAGTAAATTAATTTAAGGTGATTTTCTTGGTTCAATGATACCAGACTACAGAAATCATAGATATCAATTTAGTTTCCAGTGTATATGAAAGCACAAGTTTCGACTTTTGAAATGTTTTCAACCTTATACATCTTTGAAACCCTTTACGACCACGCTAAAATAAAATATGGGCGCAAGATCGTACTGGCATGAACCCTAATATCGAACTAATACTTCAAACGATAACGTGCTAATGCAATCCGCAATAATGCGACGCGATGGACAGAATAAAAACTAATTATCTTACTAGTTTAGACAGACGATTGTATTGAATTCAGTGGAGCACAAGCACTAGTCATGGTTACGATGGAAAGAAAAGCACATTTGATTTTGGCATCAAGTAATACATTAGACTAGAAAGAATAAGCCTATAGCCGGAGTGGATAGAGTGAGAACAAGAACTACAGACGCAATATTCTTATTTTAACATTCGCTAGTTACTATTTGACAGACCAATACACCATGGTGACTTCCGTCATTAGTGTCCTATTTGTCGTTGCATGCATTCTTCATCTTTGTGCAGTTTGTCTTCATTGTCTTTGCCTCTTTCGTCTTTCTTAATAAGAGACCTCACGCGAGAGAGAGAGAGAGAGAGAGAGAGAGAGAGAGAGAGAGAGAGAGAGAGAGAGAGAGAGAGAGAGAGAGCTGTTGATTCATGGAAGCAGTTGAAGACATAGTGATTGTTGGTGCCGGCATAGCAGGCCTCACTACAGCTTTAGGACTTCACAGGTGATTGTTCTGGAAGTGGAGTAGTTGGAACTTGAAAGAGTTGTTCTCTAAAAGTTTCTTGTTCTGCTCTGTCCCATTCTCACCCTCTTTCATGTTGGTAGTGCTGATAACTATGTATGTTGCAGGCTTGGCATTAAAAGCTTGGTTTTGGAGTCGTCTGACGGGTTGAGAACCACAGGGTTTGCCTTTACGACATGGACAAATGCTTGGCGGGCCTTGGATGCGGTCGGCATCGGCGAACCGCTCCGCCAACAGCACAACCAACTTTTTGGGTAACTGATGAAAATCCTCCTCCATTTGCTGTGGCTAAGATGAATATATTTGTTATTCTTACAATTACTGTGATTCATTATTCCAATTACAATTCAAATGTGGAGACATAGCTTTGTATGATTGGCTTGACCTACCTGGTTACTTGACCACATATTGTTTTTGACACGGCTGAGCCCGTGCCGATGGTATAGGGTGGACATGTCATTCTAATTTGGGGGTGATCAGGGAGAAACCATTCACACAATATCATAAAATGGCTTAGACTGACTATCCCTAAGGATTTTTTTTTTGGTCGAAGTCCCTTAGGATTCGAGCCTTTTATTGATGAGAATCATTTCCAAGCCTCATGATCGCGGAAAAGTGAGTGTCTTTGGATGGTGATGTTTCGTCTTAAGAGTTTGCCTTTTGTCCGGGTTTAAGAGAAGGAATGCATTAGGAGAGGGATTAGACAAATCCTGACATTGCAGAGTACCCATGCTAGGAGTGCACGAGCAACGTTACATGACATCTGATTTGCGACATAAATACATCAACTTTAGATGGAAAAAGAAACTTGCCATCATATCAATCCAACAGCCGGTTCTTTTTGTCATGGCTCTGTGCCCGACTTCAACTGATATTTGAGAGGTTCTGGTGCAGGTTGGTGACCTCTTCCCGAGCTTCTGGACTTTCTACAGCTGATAGACAACCTGATGCCACGAGGACACAGTTAGTCGTTTGGATTCATGAAGATCGACGTGACTTAAAATTGCATTCGGACTTAGCCATTCAATTAAAACAGATCCATTCCTCACATTTCTCGCGAAAATTCAAATGGATTCCTAATTTCCTTTGTTAATGGTTTTCCTTATGTATGGCATGTCTTCTTAACTTGGTGCGTCTACTGCAGACGTGTCCATGAAATTCGTTGCTTGCAGAGGAAAACCTTGTTGGAAACTCTTGAGAAAGAACTTCCTAGCGGCACTATAAGGTATTCCTCCAAGGTTGTGTTGATCGAGGAATTGGGCTACCCTAAGCTGGTCCATCTTTCTGATGGGTCAATTCTCAAGGCGAAGGTATGGCATCATAATTACCATAATTAGGAAATCTGCTTAGAGTGACAGAGAGATATTTTATGCTCGAGAGACGCCCCTTTGTCTGTGCAAAATTTGCTTGCTTGTCTGAACAAGATATCTATGGTTTAACTAATCTTTAAGCTTCTGACATAAAAAAACTAATCTTTAAGCTTATGCTCGATATGAAAATGCTAGGTGTTAATTGGGTGTGATGGAGTGAACTCAGCAGTGGCAAAATGGCTAGGCTTCAAGAAGCCTGCTTTTGTTGGCCGATCTGCCATCAGGGGCTCTGTGTATTATGAGCATGGTCATGGTTTCGAGCCTAAATTCTTCCAATACATTGCTGAAGGTGTTAGATCTGGTGTCGTCGCTTGCAATGACAAGTCTATATATTGGTTCTTCACTTTTTCTTCTTCCAGCAAGAGTGAGTTTCTGTACTTCCTTCGATATGAGTTGGCTTTTGGTAGCTATAAGATTCTTTTACTCTGCTTTTCATATGATCTACAAGCAAACAATGTCACTTTCATTGATGCAGATGAAGAGATGGAAGAGAGTCCGGCCAAGATGAAGCAATTCGTGCTGGCAAAGCTTGGAAAAACACCGGACAACGTGAGAGCTGTTATCGAGAAAACAGAACTGGATAACATAATATTGTCGCCGTTGATATTTCGACCCCCGTGGGAGATTCTGCTTGGAAACATAAGCAAAACCAATGTCTGCGTAGCCGGAGACGCATTCCACCCCATGACGCCAGACATCGGCCAGGGAGGCTGTGCGGCTCTAGAAGATGGCATTGTCCTAGCGAGATGCCTGGGCGAAGCCTTGAGCGACAAGCAAGGCGTGAGCAGTGAAGAAGAGCACAAGAGGATTGAGATGGGCTTGCAGAGTTATGCCAAAGAGAGAAGATGGAGAGCATTTGAGCTCATAAGCACAGCTTACATGATGGGATACATCGAACAGAGCAATGGCAGGGTATTGAACTTCTTGAGGGACAGAGTACTGGCCAGCTTCTTGGCCCGGCAGAGGCTCAAGATGGCGAGTTATGATTGCGGGAAGCTGAGCGCTTCTTGAATTACCCTATTTGTTTACTTATCAATGTGTTCTGTGCGAGCATTTATACGGGCCGACCTCATCATGCATCATATACAGAATACTAATAGGGGAGATAGTTATGTTAAGTTGTGATCGGTTTGCTTTGCCTCTCTCATGACATAAAAAAAAGAATAAAGGGATAAATGCATTGAAAATCCTAAAACATGTTATAAAAGTGCAATTGAGCCTTAAAACTTTCGAAAAGTTCAATTAAGTCCTAAAATTTATCACGAAAATGTAGTTGGGTTCTAAAACTTTAAAAAAAATGCAATAAAGTCCTAAATTTTTTGTAAAATTGGTCAAATCAAGTACTTCTGTTGTTGCACTTTTAAAAATTTTAGGACTCAATTGTACTTTTTGAAAGTTTTAGTACTCGATTGCACGTTTATTACAAGTTTTAGGACTTCCAGTGTAATTATCAAATGCCGAGAAACATTGTTCTTTTTGTTTGTATGTATCGCCTCAAAACATTGCAATAGAGATATATGTATGAATTCTCTTCCTTATATATCTCGATAACAAAAGTTTTGCAACATAACATAAATAATAAATATTAAGGTAAATTACTTGGTACAATGATTCTAGACTGTATAAATCATACATGTCAATGTAGTTTCTAAATGTATATGAAAACACAAGTTTCAACTTTTGAATTTTTTTTTAACTTTATACATCTTTGAAATACTTCACTTACAACCACATTAAAATAAGGGAAAAATTATACAAAAGTCTTAAACCTATTATACGGCCGCCAATTCAGTCCGAAACTTTTCAATTTAGCCAATATAATCCTAAATGTGTTGACAATTTTTTATAGTAGTCATTTCGGCCAATTTTAGTCGGATATTACTGATATGACGGTTCAGTCAGCGTTGGCCATTCTATATGATACGATCAGCGCTACCGTTGATGAAATTTGTAATTTCTTTAACTTTCTTAAATTTTTTTTTTCCGTTTTCTTTTCTCTACAATTTTTTCCTATTTCCCATTGTCGGGGCCTCGGCACTGGCCAGCGAGAGCCATAACGCCCTCGCTTGTGGCCCATGGCCATCGTCGAGACCCTGGTGATCGGCGGAGGGAAATAGAAAATAAAAATAAAAAGAAAAAGAAGAGAAAAGAAAAGGAAAATGAAAGAAAAAACTTAGAAAATTTCAAAAAATTTGCAAAAATCGTCCACGTCATCACTGGAAGCTGGTCGTTCCGACTATGCCACATAGGTAGACCGATGCTAACTAAATTGATCAAATTGGAAAATTTAGAATTGAATCGGCGTCCATATAATAGACTTAGGATTTTAGGGACAATTCTCCCTAAAAATAAGATATGTGTGCAAGTATGCACGGGTATGAACATTTGTATCCAACTAACACTTGAAATGACAATGTGCCAATGGGATCCTCAATAATGCGATGCGACGGACAAAATAGGAATTGACTGCGTTACAAGTTTAGACGGACAATTGTATTGAATTCAATCAAGTACAAGCCTTAGTCATTATCACAAAGGAAAAAAAGGAATATCTTCACTAGAAGTCCTAAAATTTATCATCAAAGTGTAATTGAGTCCTAAAACTTATAAAAAGTGTAATCGAATCCTAAAATTTATCAAATTGGTTCAATCGAATCCTAAAGTTAATACCGTCCAATTTGACTAAGAGAAAATGCCGAAATGGCTTTTTTTTTTATTTTTATATTCTACGTGGCAATGACATGGCTTTTTTTAATCATTATTTTAATATTAATTTTATTTGAATTAAATTTAAAAATAAGATAAAATAAAAAAAAAGGGAGGAGGAGGACAATCGGGGAGGGAGGGCTTGCCCTCCCCCCCGCCGCTGCCGTCGCCGCCGCCACCGTCCCACCATTGCCTGGAGGGGCCAACGAGGGTGGGGGGATGGCAGGTGAGGGCTTGCGGGCCCTCCCCCAGATCGGACGAGGGTCGTCGGCCCTCGCCCAGACCTGGCCGAGGGCCGAGGCCCGGCGACCCCCGCCTTTCGTCCCCCCACCCTCGCCGGCCCCTCCCGGCAATGGTGGGGCGGCGGCGGCGGGGAGGGCAAGCCCTCCCTCCCCGCCTGTCCTCCTCCTTTTTTTTATAATTAATTTTAGCTTTTTTTTAAAATTTAATTTATATAAAAGTAGTATTCAAAATCATATTTTGATTAAAACGATATCGTTTTAACCACGTCATTGCCGCATAGGAGAGAGAACAATATTAAAATAAGTTACGTCAGCGCCACGTCAGCATTTTCTATTAGTAAGTTTGATGTGTTAACTTTATGACTCAATTATATATTAGTGATAAATTTTAGGACTTCTAATGAGCATATTAAAAAAAAAACCAAGAAAAAGCACATTTGGTTTGTAACATTCGCTAGTTACTATTTGCTAGACCAATATGCGTAGTGGCTTACGTCATTGGAGTCCCATTTGTCGTTGCATACAGTCATCATCTTTCTACAGTTTGTCTTTATACTCTTTGCCACCTCCCTATCTTTCTTTATAAAAGACCTCACCCGAGAGAGAGAGAGAGAGCGAGAGAGAGAGGAGAGAGAGACATCAAGCTGTTGATTTATGGAAGCAGTTGAAGACATAGTGATTGTCGGTGCTGGCATAGCAGGCCTCACTACAGCTTTAGGACTTCACAGGTAATTGTTCTGGAATTGGAGCAGTTAGAACTTGAAGGAGTTGTTTTCTAAAAGTTTCTTGTTCTGCTCTTTCTCGTTATCACACTCCTTGTTAAATATATCTTGAATTTTATGTACTCGATCCGGTTCATCACTCGACTCGACATGACATATTTTTTGTGCGACTCAAAAGTGGAGAAAAATTGAGATTTAGTTCGTGACTTGAAGGGTTAGGCCGATAGGCCTATTTATACTGCGGCTAGGTTTTTTCATTGATTAAGAGAGATTTTCGTTTTGGGAGAGATTTGTGAGCCGTGAGGTTTTGTTAAGTCGTTTTTTCGACTTCTGAAAACTGTACTCTCTTTGATTATAATGGAATCTTATCTTGTCTCGCCCGTGGACGTAGATCACCTTGTGATCGAATCATGTAAATCCTTGTGTTCTGTATTTGTTTTTCCGCGTTTGTTTCGAACACTCCTTATGTTTATTCGTATGTCTCTGATATTCAAGTGAGTGCTGATAGTCTGTTGTGTGTTGCAGGCGTGGCATTAGAAGCTTGGTTCTGGAGTCGTCTGATGGGTTGAGAGCCACCGGGTTCGCCTTTACAACATGGACAAATGCTTGGCGGGCCTTGGACGCGGTCGGGATCGGCGAACCACTCCGTCCACAGCACTGCCAACTTTTTGGGTGACTGATGAAATCCTCCTCTTGCTGTGGCTAAGATGAATATATTTCTTATTCTTAGGATCACTGTGATTTGATAATTCCAATTGCAATTTGAATGTATAGTGCGACATAACATTGGACCCGCAAACGAAGATGTGAGCCCTTTAGTGATTTGGTTGGCCTACCGGGTTACTTGACAACCTATTGTTTTTCACAAGGCCGAGCCTGCATCAAGTTTATAGGGCGGACACGTCATTCTAATTTGGAATGAATGTGGAGAAACATTCTCGCATGATCTTGAAATGGCCTATACTGACTGCCCGTTAATATTTTAGCTTGTTATCGATGAGAATGATTTCCAAGCCTCATGTTATCGGAAGTGTAAGTATCTGTGGATGGTGATGTTTTCATCTAGAAAGTTTTCCTTTTGTTCGGGTTTTCAAGAAGGAATGCAATAGGAGTGGGACAAAACATATCCCAATATTGCTGAGTACCCACCCTAGAATTGAGTGAGAACCTTTACATGACATCTGATATGCAACATAGATCCATCAACTCTAGATGAAAAAGATATTTGCCATGATATTAATTCAACAGTTAGTTCTTTTTCTTACCGCTCCGTTCCCAATTTGAATTGATATTTGAGAGGTTTTGGTTCAGGTTGCAGACCACTTCCACAATTTCTGGACTTTCTACAGCTGACAGAAATTTTGATGCCACTGAGACACAGTTAAGTCGTTTAAATTCATGAAAATCTATGTGACGTAAAATTGCATGCGAAACTAGCCATTCAAATAAACCACATCCATTGCTCACGTTTCTCACGCAAATTTCAACGGATTCCTAATTTCCTTTTTTAATGGTTTGTGTTATGTATGGTGTGTCTTTTAACTTTGTGCATCAATTGCAGACGAGGCCATGAAATTCGTTGCGTGCAGAGGAGAACCTTGTTGGAAACTCTTGCGAATGAGCTTCCTAGCGGCACTATAAGGTATTCGTCCAAGGTTGTGTCGATCGAGGAATCGGGCTACCTTAAGCTGGTCCATCTTTCTGATGGGTCAATTCTCAAGGCGAAGGTATAGCATCATAATAACCATTAATTAGGAAAATCTGCTTAGAGTGACAGAGAGATATTTTATGCTCGAGAGAAGCCCCTTTGTCTGTGCAAAATTTTCTTGCCTGTCTGAACAAGATATCTATGGTTTAACTTATCTTTATGCTTATGCTCTATGTGAAAATGCTAGGTGTTAATTGGGTGTGATGGAGTGAACTCCGCAGTGGCAACATGGCTAGGCTTCAAAAAACCTGCTTTCGTTGGCCGATCTGCCATTAGGGGCTGTGTGTTTTACGAGCACGGTCATGGTTTCGAGCCTAAATTCTTCCAATACTTTGGTGAAGGAGTTAGATCTGGTGTCATCCCTTGCGATGACAAGTCTATTTACTGGTTCTTCACTTTTTCTTCTTCCCGCAAGAGTGAGTTTCTGTGCTTCATTCCATATGAGTTGGGCTTTTGGAAACTATTGAATTCTTTTACTCTGCTTTTCATATTATCTACAAGCAAAAAATGTCACTTTCGTCAATGCAGATGAAGAGATGGAAGAGAGTCCGGCCAAGATGAAGCAATTTGTGCTGGGCAAGCTCGGAAAAATACCCGACAACGTGAGAGCTGTTTTCGAGAAAACAGAACTGGATAACATTATACTGTCACCGCTGAGATTTCGACCCCCATGGGAGATTCTGTGGGGGAACATAAGCAAAACTAATGTCTGTGTAGCCGGAGACGCATTCCACCCCATGACGCCAGATCTTGGCCAGGGAGGCTGTGCGGCTCTAGAAGATGGCGTCGTCCTAGCAAGATGCCTCGGTGAAACCTTGAGGGAGAAGCAAGGCATGGGCAGTGAAGAAGAGTACAAGAGGATTGAGATGGGCTTGCAGAGTTATGCCAAAGAGAGAAGACGGAGAGCATTTGAGCTCATAAGCACAGCTTACATGGTGGGATACATCCAACAGAGCAATGGCGGGGTATTGAACTTCTTGAGGGACAGAGTGCTGCCCAGCTTCTTGGCCGGGCAGCTGCTGAAGATGACGAGTTACGATTGCGGGAAGCTGAGCGCTTCTTGAATTACCCTATTTGTTTACTTATCAATGTGTTTTGTGCGAGCATTTATATGGGCCGTTCTCATCATACATCATATACACAATACTAATAAGGGAGATAGGTATGTTAAGTCGTGATCGGTTTGCTTTGCCTCTCAAATATCAGAGAAAGGGTTCCTGTCTATGCAGAGACAGGTTTGTGAAGTGAAGGACAAAAAGTCCCATAAGGGCATTTTTATGTATGATTTCAGGAATGTCAAGGAGGAGTCTTGTTCACATAAATATCACCATTTATAGCTCAAGATTTTGTGTTTTTGGCAAATTTGCTAGTTTTTCATTGACGAAAAGCCTTAACTCGTCCTTTTATATGTTGGGCCGCTATAAAGTCAACACATCGAATTAACCATTCAAAATTCCAATTTTGCATCTAGAGAACTTCTTACACGAACATGAAGTTTGGTGCAATGGTATCAACTGTCATTCGTTATCTCATGCTGCATTTGCTTTAGAGTTCGAAAAGTGGAAATGTTTTTCACCATTTTAGATGAGTTTGAGCCCATTTAAAACTTGAATATAAATGTAAATTTTAGTTGGATGAAATAATAATACATTTTATCCCAACTAAAACATGACATAAGTTTGAAATGGTCAAATAAGAATGAGACCACAAAAAAAAAAATCTAAACATATAAAGCTTCATAAAACTTCTTAAACCATTTTAAATAATAAATAGGGTTGCAAATGCTCGATTCGAAGTTTTGTATCAAATATACTATAAATTTCACTTCTTCCTTTTAACAAAATCGCACTCTGTTCATAATAAATCTAATTCTTTTCATTTTCAAAATATGAGTTCACAAATTCAAAAAAGAAATAGCATTGCTCATTTGGGAATGTCCAAAACCAAATAATGTAGCTACAAGAGTTGACGATATCGTGATCCTATCAATTAAACGAGAATCGATGTCAAAATCAAGTAAAACACTACTTCAACTAATGACTCAACTAAACTATGCTATTTTGTAGTCAAAGTGCTCACTACGGGTCGATAAAAGACCTCAAGAACAGCGAATGCGGCAAATTTTAATGCGAAGAACAACCATTTGCATGACAAATGGCCACTCGCGCGACAAACTTCATCATGCCATAACTCTCTCCACTAAATCCCTTTTAAGCAACCTTACAGTTAAAAAAAAAACTCTTTTAAAGTACTAGAAGACTCATAGCTTGGCCAACCCAAAATTTAGTCTGCAACTGACGAAATTCGGCTCGAAGGCTGCTTGTCGAGTATTGTTCATCAAGCGCGCCCGACTTCGAAAATTCGTTGTTACAATAATTAAATACTAAATCATGTATTCATCTAACAGCTTAAGTTTTTAAAACAGTTGACAGTAGTCTATAAAATTTCATATGGTATCAGAGCCGGAGGTCTTGAATTCAAATCTTTCCAGGCTCTATTTTAAGTCACATCTCTTTCGGGCAAACGTAAACCTAAATCTAGTTCTGTAAAATCCCTTCTTTTCTTTCTTCCCATTTCTTTCTTTTCTCTAAGCGTTCCTTCTTCTTTCCTTCTTGTTGACCGGTTCTTTTTTTATTTTGTTTTTACGGGACCTGCTATTACGTAGTGGCTTCCGTCATTAGTGTCCTATTTGTCGTTGCATGCACCGTAAGCCTAAATCTAGTTCCGTAAAATCCCTTCTTTTCTTTCTCCCCATTTCTTTCTTTTCTCTAAGCGTCCCTTCTTCTTTCCTTCTTGTTGACCGGTCCTTTTTTGTTTTTGTTTTTGCGGACCCGCAATTACGTAGTGGCTTCCGTCGTTAGTGTCCTATTTGTCGTTGCATGCCGTCATCATCTTTCTAAAGTTTATCTACGTCGTCTTTGCCTCTTTTATCTTTCTTTATAAGAGACCTCACTCGAGATTGATCGAGAGAGAGAGAGAGAGCGGAGAGATAGAGAGAGCTGCCGATTAATGGAAGCAATTGAAGACATAGTGATTGTCGGTGCTGGCATAGCAGGCCTCACTACAGCTTTAGGACTTCACAGGTGATTGTACTTCAATCGGAGCAGTTACAACTTGAAAAGAGTCGTTCTCTAAAAGTTTCTTGTTCTGCTCTCTCTCATTCTCACCCTCCTTATGTTTGTTCGCATGTTTCTGATATACAAGTGAGGGTCGATGATCTGTGGTGTGTTGCAGGCTTGGCATTAGAAGCTTGGTTCTGGAGTCGTCTGATGGGCTGAGAACCACGGGGTTCGCCTTGGCAACATGGACAAATGCTTGGCGGGCCTTGGACGCGGTCGGGATCGGCGAACCACTCCGTCCACTGCACAACCAACTTTTTGGGTGACTGATGAAATCCTCCTCCTCTTGCTGTGGCTAAGATAATAATATTTCTTATTCTTAGGATCACTGTGATTTGAAAATTCCAATGGCAATTTGAATGGATATAAGTACACTAGAAATGTCAAAAGTTGTGTACGACGCTCATTTTGGTACAAAAAGTTTTTGCTATCTCACTTAAGTACAAAATCGGAGAAAAAAAATCACTGAAGTGCCTTCGACGAGAAATTCCGATAAAAAATATTATGTGACTTTTATAATAAAATGTTTAATCTGACATGGTATTTTTATATTAAAAACGAGTTTACGTGGCATGAAGTCCAGCCCAAAAAATGACGTCGCATGAGCTTCTCTCAAAGTAGGCGCACTGTGAAGCTTTGTTCTACCACCCTCACACTGTCGTTCAGTCACCGTCGCCGTCGGCTCGGTCGCATCACTTGCTTGCATGTCGTCTCTCACTTGAGGTTCGTCATCTTCTCTTAGTCGCTCAATTGGCTGAAAAAGTTCGGGCTTGGAGGGAATATTCAGCTTCTTCTTGGACTCGGTAGCCCACAATAATAATAATATTTAGCTTCTTCTTCATTTTGTTGAAACGAATTTGAATTTGCAAGATTGAACTGTTAATTTTTGGGGAAAATTGAATTAGGGTTTCGAATTTGGGAAAATGGTTGAATGGTCGATTAGGGTTTATATTTGGGCCAAAACATGTAGATGACGTCGTTTAGGGATATATATGATGATTGAGCACGCGGGTGAATCACGTAAGCTGGAGAAATTAATAAATATGGCATCGTTGGATTTCCAGTGACTCAAATCAGAGTTAGCACTAAAGTGATCCGAAAAAATCTTTTGGCACCAAATTGAGCGACGTACGAAACTTTTCACACTTCTAGTATCCTTATACCAATTTGAATGTATAGTGTGACATAACATTGGACCCACAAACGAAGATATGAGCCTTTTAGTGACTGGCTTGGCCTACCAGGTTACTTGACCACCTACTGTTTTTCACACGGCTGAGCCTGCATCAAGGGTATAGGGCGAACACGTCATTCCAATTTGGAATGATCGGGGAGAAACATTCTCACAGGATCATGAAATGGATTATACTGACTGTCCGTTAGAATTTGAGCTCGCGTCATGTTCCTAGAAGTGTGAGTGTCTGTGGATGGTGATGTTTTCATCTAGAGAGTTTGCCTTTTGTTCGGGTTTCTAAAGAAGGAATGCAACAGGAGAGGGATTAGACACATCCTGATATTGCCGAGTACCCACGCTAGAATTGAGTGAGCACCTTTATATGACATCTGATATGCAACATAGATCCATCAACTCTAGATGAAAATGATATTTGCCATGATATTAATTCCACAGCTAGTTCTTTTTCTCATGGTTCTGTGCCCGATCTGAATTGATATTTGAGAGATTCTCATTCAGGTTGCATACCGCTTCCACAGTTTCTAGCCTTTCTTCAGCCGAGAGACAATTCGATGCCATAGGAACACAGTTAAGTAGTTTAAATTCATGAAAATTTATGCGATGTAAAATTGCATGTGAAATTAGCCATTAAAAAAAACCAGATCCATTCCTCACGTTTCTTGCGCAAATTTCGGTGGATTCCTAATTTCCTTTTTCATTGGTTTGTGTTATGTATGGTGTGTCTTTTTAACTTTGTGTATCTATTGCAGACGAGGCCATGAAATTCGTTGCGTGCAGAGGAGAACCTTGTTGGAAACTCTTGTGAAGGAGCTTCCTAGCGGCACTATAAGGTATTCGTCCAGGGTTGTGTCGATCGAGGAGTCGGGCTACCTTAAGCTAGTCCATCTTTCTGATGGGTCAATTCTCAAGGCGAAGGTATAGCATCATAATAACCGTTAATTAGGAAAATCAACTTAGTGTGACAGAGAGATATTTTATGCTCGAGAGAAGCCCCTTTGTCTGCGCAAAATTTTCTTGCCTGTCTGAACAAGACATCTATGGTTTAACTTATCTTTATGCTTATGCTCTATGTGAAAATGCTAGGTGTTAATTGGGTGTGATGGAGTGAACTCCGCAGTGGCAACATGGCTAGGCTTCAAGAAACCTGCTTTCGTTGGCCGATCTGCCATCAGAGGCTGTGTGTATTACGAGCACGGTCACGGTTTCGAGCCTAAATCCTTCCGGTACATTGGTGAAGGAGTTAGATCTGGTGTCATCCCTTGCGATGACAAGTCTATTTATTGGTTCTTCACTTTTTCTTCTTCCAGCAAGAGTGAGTTTCTGTACTTCATTCCATATGAGTTGGGCTTTTGGAAACTATTAAATTCTTTTACTCTGCTTTTCATATTATCTACAAGCAAACAATCTCACTTTCCTTAGTGCAGATGAAGAGATGGAAGAGAGTCCGGCCAAGATGAAGCAATTCGTGCTGGGCAAGCTCGGAAAAATACCCGACAAAATGAGAGCTGTTATCGAGAAAACAGAACTGGATAACATTATATTGTCACCGCTGAGATTTCGACCCCCATGGGAGATTTTGTGGGGAAACATAAGCAAAACCAATGTATGCATAGCTGGAGACGCATTCCACCCCATGACGCCAGACATCGGCCAGGGAGGCTGTGCGGCTCTGGAAGATGGTGTTGTCCTAGCGAGATGCCTGGGCGCAGCCTTGAGGGAGAAGCAAGGCATGAGCAGTGAAGAAGAGTACAAGAGGATTGAAAAGGGCTTGCAGAGTTATGCCAAAGAGAGAAGATGGAGAGCATTTGAGCTCATAAGCACAGCTTACATGATGGGATACATCGAACAGAGCAATGGCAGGGTATTGAACTTCTTGAGGGACAGAGTACTGGCCAGCTTCTTGGCCCGGCAGAGGCTCAAGATGGCGAGTTACGATTGCGGGAAGCTGAGCGCTTCTTGAATTACCCTATTCGTTTACTTATCAAGGTGTTTTGTGCGAGCATTTATACGGGCCGACCTCATCATACATCATATACAGAATACTAATAGGGGAGATAGTTATGCTAAGTCATGATCGGTTTGCTTGGCCCGGTTTGCTTCGCCACTCAAATATCAGAGAAAGGGTTCCCGTCTATGCAGAGACAGGCTTGTGAAGTGAAGGACAAATAAGGGCACTTTTATGTATGATTTCAGGAATGTCATGGAGGAGTCTTGTTTACATAAATATCATCAACTGCCATTCATAACTCAAGATTTTGTGTTTTTGGCAAATTTGCTAGTTGTTCATTGACGAAAAGCCTTAACTCGTCCTTTTATATGTTGGGTTGCTATAAAGTCAACACATCAAATTAACCCTTCGAAATTTCAATTTTGCAACTAGAGAACTTCTCCCACGAACATGAAGTTTGGTGCAATGGTATCAACTGTCATTCATAATTTGATACTGCGTTTGCTTTAGGTTTGAAAAGTGGAAATGTTTTTCACCATTTCAGATGGGTTTGAGCCCATTTAAAACTTGAATATAAATGTAAACTTTAGTTGAATGAAATAATAATACATTTTATACCAATTAAAACTTGAAATGGCCAAAATAAGAATGAGACCACAAAATAAAAAAAATAATATCTAAACAAATAAAGTTTCATAAAACTTTTTAAACTATGTTAATTAATGAATAGGGTTGCAAATGCCCAATCCGAAGTTATGTATCAAATATACTATAAATATCACTTTTGCCTTTGAACAAAATCTCACCTTGCTCATAATGTCTAATTTTTTTCACTTTCAAAATATGAGTTTACAAATTCAAAGAAGAGATGGCATCGCTCATCTGGAAATGTCTAAGACCAAACAATGTAACTAGATGAGCCGACGATATTGTGATCCTATCAATTAAACAAGAATAGACCCATAACCAAGTAAACACAACTTTAAATAACGATTCGACTAAACTACGCTATTTCGTAGTTAAAGCGCTCACTACGGGTTGATAAAAGACCTCAAGAACGGCCAACGCGAAGAACAACCACTTGACCGACAAACGGCCACTCGTAGACAAACTTTATCGTGCCATAACTCTCTCCACTTAATCCCTTTTAAGCCACCTTATAGTCAAAAGTAGACTCTTTCAAAGTACTAGAAGACTCATAACTTGGCCAACCCAAAATTTAGCCAGCAACCAACAAAATTCGGCCCGAAAGCTGCTAGTCGAGTACTGTTCATCAAGCGTGCTCGACTTCGAAAATTTCTTTCGGACAAACCGTAAGCCTAAATTTAGTTTTGTAAAATCTACATCTTCACAACAACCTAAACTATCAATCCTCTATAATTTCTCAACTTAACAACTACTAAATCCAACCTCGCAATTTAAATATCACTTAGGCTCCGTTCGTTTCGCAAAAAATGTTACATTTATGGAAAATATTTTCCCGAAAGTCATTTTCCTAGAAAATGACATAATTTTCCGGTGTTCGGCTGAAATCTGAAAAAGTTTTGGAAAATATTTTTTAATTTTCCCGGAAGTCATTGAAAATATTTTTCTTTTTTCTTTTCTTTTTTTTTTCCTTCGTCTTCTTCTTCCTCAGCCGGTCGTCGGCCACGGCGGCGGCCGGTGATCGGCCAACTTGAGCCTCGCCACAGGCCAGCAAGGCTCGAGCTCGCCAGATTCCAGTGAGGTCAAGCTCGCCGGCCTGTGGCGAGGCTCCAGCTCGCCTAATCCGGCGCGGGCGAGCTCGCCCAAGGCCGGTCGGGCGAGCTCGGGCGAGGCCAATAGATCTAGCGAGCTGGGCGAGGCTCGAGCCTCGCTGACGTCTGGCAACCTCGGGCGAGGCGAGGAGAGCCTCGCCCAACTCGCCAGATTTGTCGAGACCCGAGCTCACCCGACCGGCCTTGGGCCAGCTCGCCCGCACCGGATTAGGTGAGTCGAAGCCTCGCCACAGGCCGACGAGAGCTCGAGCCTCGCCGGCTTGTGGCGAGGCTTGAGTTGGTCGGTCATCGACCGCCGCCGTGGCCGGCGACCGTATGAGGAAGGAGAAGGAAAAAAAAAAAGAAAAAGAAAATATTGAAAATAAAATGTTGAAAGAAGAAGAAGAAGAAGGTGAAAAGAGGAAATCCTTTTCCTCAAAAGTGAAGGCTTTTTGTCCATAGGAAGGAAAATATTTTCCGTGGAAAGTTAGTTTCCGTGAAACTGACGCAGAGAGAAGCGTAAATTTGGAACAACTCCAAAGAACTCGAAATTTTTATTCTATAATACTGTGTTTCTGATTACAAGACGGACATCTTATATATAGAGATAGGACTCCTAATACTAATGGAAACCGAATAATTAAAGAAACCGCCCGAATGGTAATATAGGAAACTCGCTTTACTTGGTAATATAGGAAACCGCCTAAATGATAATATAGGAAACTGCCTTACCGGGTAATATAGGAAACTCGCCTAAATGATAATATAGGAAATCGCTTGAATGGTTGTTTTCCCCAAAATCGAAAAACCGCCGAGATTTCCAAGTGATTACGGCGATCACATTGTTCAAGATAATCACAGCTAACTGTTTCTACATCATTCCCTCCCTCTTCGGAAAAACTCGCCTCGAGTTATGATCAGGATAGAGGGGTGTATCAGAAGCATGATACTCAAATAAGTCTGCCACATTAAATATAGGGGAAATGTTGAGATCACTAGGAAGTTCAACTACATAGGCATTGTCGTTGATCTTCTTCAGGATGCGGCAATGACCAATTTTCTTGTGCTTCAGTTTATTATAGGTACCTACAGGAAAACGCTCCTTTCGTAGGAAAACCATTACCTCATCGCCTACCTCAAAAATTTTCGAACGTCGCCGTTTGTCAGCATCCTCCTTATACTTTGAATTAGAAGCAGCCTATTGACTAGCCACAGCAGCTTGGACTTCATTAATTATGGTCGCCAAATTCTCTGCCGCGACACTATAGCCTGGAATCTTGGGTAAGGGAACCAAATCAAGAGTATGCTGTGGTGTACGCCCATAAACGACCTGAAAGGGAGATGTACTGGTAGAGCGGTTAACCGAGTTGTTGAAGGCGAACTCAGCAGGAGCAAGATACCGGTTCCACTGCTTAGGCATATCACTGCAGAGGTAGCGAATGATATCCGCCATCGTACGATTCACAATTTCCGTCTGACCATCCGTTTGGGGATGGAAAGAACTACTATACTGTAAATCAGTCCCAAACAAACGCCATAAAGTACGCCAAAAATGGCTCAGAAATTTCGTGTCACGATCGGAAGTGATTGTCTTCGGCACACCATGGAGACGGACTACTTCACGAAAGAATAAACTTGCCACATGCGAAGCATCCGAAGTTTTCTTACAAGGGATGAAGTGCGCCATCTTTGAAAATCGGTCAACCACCACGAAAACATAATCTAAACCCCGTTGAGTGCGAGGAAGTCCCAATACGAAGTCCATCGATATGTCTACCCAAGGACCCGAAGGAATATGCAATGGAGTATAAAGACCAGTGTTCTGAGAGTGGCCCTTAGCGGTCTGGCAAATGTAGCATTTACTGACAAATCGCCCCACGTCTCGCTTCAGTTGAGGCCAATAGTACCGTTCCTCCACCAAGGCTATAGATTTATCTCGCCCTAAATGTCCGCCGAGAGTACTACCATGAAGCTCTCGAATGAGTTGTTCACGTAAGAAACCACGTGGAATGCATAATCTATTGCCAAAGAACAAGAAATTTTCATGAATTATCATATCACCATAACAACTTGTTTCAGAACACTTCTCCCATATCTCACCAAAATCATCATCCTCAGGATAAAGAGAACATAGGTGATCAAAACCAATAACATCAGTGCGCATGGTCACGAGTGTCGCAGCACGTCGACTCAGCGCATCTGCCACTTTATTTAAATGGCCTGCTTTGTGATGAAGCACAAAATTAAATTGTTCCAGAAAAGAAACCCATCGTGCATGCATTCGATTTAAGTGCTTCTGACTCTTGATATATTTAAGAGCCTGATGATCGGTATTAAGAACAAATTCCTGCTGATAAAGATAGGACTGCCAATGCTTTATAGCTCGCACGACAGCATAATATTCCTGCTCATACGTCGACCAATGCTGGCGAATTTCATTAAGTTTTTCACTAAAGAAGGCTATAGGCTTACCTTCTTGGGAAAGGACAGCGCCAATCCCGACGCCGGAAGCATCACAATCCAGCTCGAACACTTTCTCAAAATCAGGGAGCATCAATACCGGCGCCGTGGAGAGCTTTTCTTTTATAAGAGCAAAACTGGCCGAAGCTTCATCTCCCCAATAGAATTTGCCCTTCTTTAAACAGTCAGTGATCGGGGCCATAATAGTACTGAAATCTCAAATGAAAACGCCTATAAAATGTTGCAAGGCCATGGAAACTTCGAGCCTCGACAACATTCTTGGGAACTGGCCAATTGCGAATCACGCCCACCTTATCTGCATCAACGTGAAGTCCATCCGCGCCAACAACAAAACCCAAAAACAAGAGGCGTTCTGTCATGAAACTGCACTTTTTCAGATTAATGAATAATTTATTTTGCTGCAAGGTTAGTAGGACATCCCTCAAGTGTTCCATGTGTTGACGCCCATCTGGACTATATATGAGTATATCATCAAAGAAAACTACCACAAACTTGCCAATAAAAGGTTTGAGAACCTGAGTCATCAAACGCATGAAAGTACTAGGTGCGTTAGTGAGTCCAAACGGCATGACAAGCCATTCGTACAATCCCGCACTTGTCTTGAAGGCCGTTTTCCATTCGTCGCCGGGGCGGATGCGAACTTGGTGGTATCCACTTCGAAGGTCGATCTTCGTAAAAATCCGTGATCCAGCAAGTCTGTCTAGCATATCATCAAGTCGTGGAATCGGAAACCTATACTTGACAGTAATCCGATTAATGGCACGACTGTCTACACACATACGCATGGTGCCGTCTTTCTTTGGCGTGAGAAGCGCAGGAACTGCACATGGACTTTTG